GTCATAAGTGATATAATTTTATATTAAAATAAAACTAATTTTAAAATAAATTGCTTTTGATTTTTTATAAAAATCTAACAAATTAATTTCATAATATTTTAGATAAAATTGTGTGGCTATAAAATTTTTATTACACCTGAGGATATGCTAGCTATGAAGATTTTGGTTCTCCCTTTTTCCATTTTCATTTCACCCGTCTTGCTTCTAAATATTTAACACAAAATAAAGGATCAAATACCTTCATGTAGTCACAAATTTAAGACAAATGATTATTGAATTTAAGTGGCTAAACTTTAATTGGTATGGGATATAAATACATTGAATTAAAAGGAAATTTAAGCATAAACAAATTAGAAAGAAATCGAATAAGTACCAAAAGTTACTACTAATTGGCAGTTATCAATTTTACTGTAAGATATTCACAGTGGTGGTGACGAAAAAAATTATAACTTTAACATTATCTTAATTAAATATTTTATTTCTTTCTTTAATAATATTTCTAAAACTTTTTGTATTTAAATAAATTTTAATATTTAATATTCACGATAATTATTTTTTTTTATCATAATGTCAAGATTCACAAATTTGATGTTTGTAAGGTTTGACATACTTTATACTATATAAAAAATATAAAAATAAATTTGATATTATTTAAATATTGTGATGTTTAAAAGAAAAAAATATTATTAAAAGAAAAATTAAGCATGCAATTGATAAATAAGAATAACAAAGAGTTCTTTATAACCATTAAAAATGTAAAAATTATTATATTATATTAATTATATACATGAAAATTTAGTATTGCAAATTCTAAATTACCAACAAATTTTTCTTTGAACAAATATTGATAAGTACAATAATTCAAATTAAAATCAAATAAGTAATAGTATCTCTTTTAAGAAAAAAAATAAAATTTCTTGCAAATGTGCACTTTAAAGTGTCATGATGATAATATACTTTATATTAATGTAAAAGTATAATGGACAAATAAAAAAATAACAAAAGTTAGGAAAAAAGAGAGAATATTAATTTTCATTCCCAATAAATTGTACAAAATAGTTTTAAAAGTAACAATGTAACATGAATAACAAGAAGTTCAAAACCAATCCAAACTATCCTAACCCACAAAATTAATAAAAAATAAAAAATGAAATAAAATATTAACTGAAAAAAATTGAATTTTCTTTTATGCTTTAATTTGGTTTATGATACTCATTTTCAAAATTAAACTCAAACAAACTAAACTAAACTATAAATATAATAATTTTATGTTAACTTTTCTATTCCACCTTATATAAATATTGACCTAAAGTACATTTTATTAAATATATTCATATTTTTTTAAAAAAAACTCTATACTATTATAACCTATAATTTATATTTAAGATTGAGTTGTAATTTATGATAAGATTTAATATTTTTAATTATTTCTTATAATTACTACATATTTAACTTTTTATTTAATAAGTATTGTTATTTAAATAAAAAATAGTAAAAGTATTTATATAATTGAGATTCTATTTGGAAACAACTTAATGAAATTTTATTTATTTGTTAATTAAAAAGTTAAAGTTGTATCCTAGTAGCAATGCCGAATCGATATAAAAAATAACTAAGTTTTGCTAAATTTTGTAATATAAAGTGCAATTTAGGTCAATCACAGAGACACAAATTAATTTTTCTTTTGACCTTAGTTTTGTTCATTGAAATACAAATTATGCAAGTTATCATTTGGAGATTCTTTATCAAATCAAGAAAAATACAGAAGTCTCTAATCAAAATATGAAGCATCAATTCACAGATCCTCAGAAACATGCATTACGAATTATCTAAGTAGTTTAAAATTTAAATTTGAACTTGAACAACAATAAGTGCAATTATACAATTCAATTGAATAGTAAAATCAAACCGATCTACGAATTTAATTAAAATATCATCCAATTAATCTACTAAAATATATCAAATTAAACTATCAATCGATTGTCTAATTCAATGTTCAACTCACAAAATTGTAGATCATATTCATGATTAGCAAATCCATAATTAAGAAGGAGAAGAACAAAATCGAATTTGATGATTGTAAAACAAAACTCAAACTGTAATATGCATGATCCTTGAGCTAGAATTGATTTAGGAGTTTAGCTTTCCATAGGGATGGAGTCCAAAATTATAAAGACAAACATTATGGAAATTTAGAGAAAATTGAAGAAGAAAGATTAAAAGAATTAAAAACCCTAAGACTGAGCCTTGGAAAATCATATCCAAAACTCTCTCTATCCCTTTAAGAATCTAGAAAAGAAAAAAATGAGAAAAAATGTTTTTCTGACTATTTATAAATTTCTCGCGTTTCTTACATGATGACTTTTTGTGAGGAAAGTGACTATACACATGGCCTTTTGCATATCAGGCTTCTAGAACAACCACTTTTTGTCCCAAGAAGTAATCACTTTTTGTCAACAAATTAGCATCAACTTTAATACTTATATCTTCCAAGTCTAAAATCCAAAATTCACAAATGATATATCAAATTAAAGCTTTATGAATCAACTATCTATAGAAATAGAAATCTTTTCAAAATTTTGACCTAAGGAATAGATGTTACAGAATAAATAAACAAAGGTCAAAATAGTCAAAGTAATGAATTTAAGGAGATTTTTCTAATAAAGCTCAATTAATGAAGTTTGAATTAAAATAGCTAAAATTAATCAATTAAACACAATTAAAAGCCTATTGACTCAAAGAAAAGCTCAAAGCATGAGTTAAAAATATTACTTATTAAATTCCCTCACACTTAAGCTTTTGTCCTTCCAAGCAAAAGTAAAATTCTAATAAACAAAAACTATCTACAAAGAGAGTTACATAAATGACAATGCACACCTTCCAATAGATTCTATAAGGCAACAAAATGAGCAAGAAAAAAATAGAACCTTACCTCCAAAGTGTGAATAAAACAAAGCAATCAAGAATTCATTCCAAAACACAAAAGCAAATAGGAATTACAATCAAACCAAATCATGGATCAAGAATGACAGAAACCTTACAAGGGTAAAATCACTCCAACTCTCAAGTGTTTAGGTTTGTGTTTACACTCAAAAGCATGTCATGAATGCAAGCACTACCATAAGCTTGACAAACCTCAAAATTCCTTCACTTAGAACAAATGCAAATAGAGATCAAAAGAACTTTATGAAGGTTGTAATGAGGCTTAGGTGTTGGAGGATGAAACTAAATGAATTTTTAAACTGAGAAGTAAAGAACCTAAAGGAGCAATGGGAAATAAACCTAAATAAGCGTGAGGGAGAATTCCACAATGATTAAGTCCTTTTTATTTCTTTTCCTTTTCTGCCAAATTTTTTTGCATAACACTTTTGCTGCACAATTTTTCTCTGCATAGTTTTTTTGCATTTTTCTGCCACATAATATTTGTTTTTTTGCATAATTTTCTTATGCAGAATATTTGTCTACATAATTTTTCTTCAAATTGCAAAACAAAGTGTAACAAAAATGAAAACTCAATTAGGAAAACACCCCCACACTTATTTCAAGACCTAATCCCAAAATAATTCCAAAGCCCCTTTATTCTATAAGGCTAAGGTAATCATGACTTTTCATTTATTTGGCTTATAATGTGCTAAAACAACCAAGAAAAAGGGTAATAAAGGCTCAAAAAGGCTAGCAATAGATAATGTAGAAGGTAGCTAATGTGGCTAGTAGTTTCAAAGACAAAGATAGCCTAAATCACATCAATGCAAACAAATGAACTAGTAAATTCAAGAGAGTTAGGTCAAGTTCTAGAATGCCTTCCAATCATGAATGAATCACACATAATGAATTGCAATAATCCAATCTCAATTAAGCTCAAAACCTCACCAAGGACAGTATGTCAAAAATGATCCACAAATTGATTTTCATGCAAAACTTATTGTACTGAAATGTAAAGAACAAATCAATCAAACTTTGAAACCTCTAACTAAGAACAAATCAAACTTTGAAATTAAATTTTTGCTTATAAATTATCTTTCAAATAAAGAAATCCATTAAAAGGTATGTAGAGACAAAGGTAACATACAAAAGCAAAATTTCCTAAACTGAAAATAATCCCTCACACTTAAATCACGTTGGAGAATAACTAGAGAATATTCATTAACACAATATGACATGAATTAATGATATGTTTGGGAGGAAATTTTTAAAAAAAAGAAAGGAATAATATATTTTTAATTTTAAATTAAAATAATTATATATAATTTATAATAAATACATTAGTAATACTTTATTTTAATATATTAATTATTTTTATTTTCTTAAAAAACTATAATTTTAAATATATTTATTTAAAATATAAAATTTGTCTTTTTCTTTCTTTCTTCCAAAATCCTCTTCTTAAACAACCTATTTATTCTTGTTGAACTTATGACTAAGCTTAACTAAATTTTACTATTCATGATCGAGGATAGTTAAGTTAGACTAATAAAGTATAGTAGAATAAAAAAAAATGAATAAGCATGTAATTAATATAAAAATGAAGGACTAAATTACAAATTTTAAAAAATTTAGGTCGTGAAACTAAATTTAGAATAATAAAAAACTTTTTACAATTAAGTAATATACGGATATCAAAATGAAAATAATAGAATTTTGAGCCTTTATAATTTCAATAAAACTATAGGGATTAAATAAAAAAACTAAAGAAATGACTAAGTAATTTCATAAAATTTTAATGGTGAAAAGTATATGTTAGTAAATATAATATTCTGTAACTTAATAGAATAAATACCGAAATTGGAATTTAGAGTCTTAAATAATTATTTTTTGTAAAAAGATAGAATATTGATGTAAATGAGATAATAATAATCAGCATGGAAATAAAATTTAATTTAATGTCTTGGAAGATAATAATGAAGAATTTAAGAGGTATATATATGTATATATATTGAAATAACCGACCAATATTGGGCAGTGAACTAAACCCCTAAAAACCTCTGCTCTGAGTTGCCACAGGAAACAATCAAGATTGAAGCAATTGAGAGAGCTCAAAATGGCATCAAAGAGAGCATGGAGAATAATTCCGAGACCCCTTCTGGAAACAATCCTAAACAACCACGCGCAGCACCACCGCGTCCCTCAACCGCTCCTCCTCCACGGTCCCAGAGGCGTTGGCAAAACCACTCTCATTCTCCAACGTACCTTTCTCTCTAAATTCTCTCTCTAAATCTTTTCTCTCGAAAACCGATTTCACGTTTTCCTTTCTTCATCGCAGGCTTACTCCCGGGCTGGACCAAAGACCATCACCTCACGGGCTACGTAGACTTCGCCCAATCCATCAAAGCCCAGCCCGGCCCATCAAATGGCCCGTGGGCCTCGTGGTCCCTTTGCCCGCCGCCGACCCTCTCCCAGTGCCAGAAAAGCCTGGAGCAATGCCTGGAGTCCATGGCCGAGAAGGGCGTCCGTGCCGGCACCATCACCTCTCAACAGATATTCACTTCACTCAACAAATGGCATGGCCTCGCCACCGCACTCCGTCGCGTGTTGCGGGAGGCTTCTTCCAAGGCCCCTGTTCCGGACAGGGCTTCGCTGGCCGTGCTGTGGGACCGCGCTGTTTTCGCCATGTCTGCTCGTTGTGATGCCGCCGAGAATGAAAAGAGTGCCTTATCCGTTGAGGAGGCTTCTTACTTGAAGGAGTCCCTCGTGGCTCTGAAGCTCGCGAAGAAGGTGATTGCGGTTCAGCAAGGGTGGAGGGCCAATGCCATTGCATTTATGAATCAGACCGGCACTTTCTCCAGGACTTTGACGCATTCTTGCACTGATTGGCCTTGTTTGTTATTGGAGTTGTTATCCCAAGCTGCTGAAATTGATCATTTTCAGGTACCAAATACATGGATTGGATAAATTATTTTGAACTGAATTATAATGACTGGATAAAACATAAACTATTAATCTATTTTGATCCATTAAAAATATCCTAAAAAAATCAATCCATCTGTAATTTATTTGATAAAAACCCATACAACCTATTCATTAACCCTTTTCTGTGGATAGATATTCAACTCATTCCTTTAAATATATTATATATATTTTTAAATATTCTTATGAAATAATTTAATATTTATACGCATTCAACATTACAGCGTCTAGGACTCATCTTTTAAAGACTTGTGCCCATCTAATAGACTTTGGAATACATAACCTAATCGATTACAAAATAGTGTGGACAGTTCATCATCCATCCACTAACAAACGATGATCTAATTCAACCCATCGATTAGTATTTATTTTTTATAATTGGATGGGTTGGTTGAATTTATGCATGGATAAATTGAATAGTTAATGGATAAATGGCTTGAATTGACACCCGTAGTTTAATCAAAAGTTTATCGCTGGCAATGTTGGCTTTTGTACCCTCAATTGCAGTCAACTTTTGAATTATATTGTGGAATATAATTATATAAAGATGCATTTCATACTAACATCTATGCTATAAAGTGATCTTGGGTTGCTTGTTTTTTGTTTAGTGTGCTGTGATGTTCAAATTGATGATATATTCAAATGATTGCAGCCAAAACTGGTTATTAACAATATTGAAGTTCTAAAACATGCTACTACAAATGATGAGTTCTCAGTCAGTGGACCACTATATCATGATAGTCTGATATGGAGAATAATTGCTTTGGGCGCTAATGAACGGTGTCTGCCTGTTATCCTAGTAACGTCTGATAGGTGATTTTCTTAGTTTAACCATCATTTCCTTCCTCTCTTTACATTTTGTCCCAGTTTAATGTGCAATTCTTCTTTAACTCTCACTGTATTTCAGTACAACTCTTTTTAGCCATTATGGGTTGAAATTTATGCTCTTTAAGCTTATTTGTTTCCCAACGAAATCTTTGTGAATTTATTTGCACATTTGTTCCTTGGGTGTCATTTGATCCATGTAACTAATCCACCTCATGGGAAAAGGCTTGGTTGTTGCATTTGTTCCTTTGGCAGAAGAGGCAAGGGACTGTAACATGGGCTTTATATGGATTGTCAATTGTTTCATTGATTTTATACTCTGTAAAAATTGTTAGACAATTTTAAATTGCTTACTATTGAAATTATGAGCTTGTAGAAGTGTGTAATCTCTGTTGTTAAATTTTACATATTTACTTATTTTCCATAGAAGGCACTGCAATTTTTATTTTTATTTTTTGTAAATATATCAACTTCTGAGTATATGTAATACTACCTTTGGTCCTTTTTTATAAGAAACAAAAGACTAAATCACTAAGATCAAGGAAAACAATTAAATTAGTTGCATTTTTTATAAATATAAATTTTATTCCAAAAATACCATTGAATAGTGTAGTTGGTGGCTTTTATATTTGATGATACTAATAAAAGAATGGTATAAAGGAATTTAACAATTAATACATCTCAAATTTATCTTATGTTTCTTATAATTAAGACCAAGAAAATAATTTATTTTGCTCCTTATAAAAAGGATCGGAGAGGGTAATAGTATGGGGAGACTATTTGTAGCAAATTATCAAAAGGAGGCACTGCTAGATGCCAGGACAAAAAATCCAAAATAAGTAGAATCATTTCTAGTTATTTTTTTCCCTGTACCAATTCATTGTTTTGTAGCAACCATACTTTGTCATGATTACAAGTAGTCAATGATGATTTCTGTATTACTACAGTATATCAAACATTTGCCTGTATACTCAAGAGTTAAATGTTTTGCATACATAGACATTCAACATACTTGGTGAGTTGCTTTTCATTGTCTCATTCTGCAGGCCTTTGTTTTTTTAAGTGTTCTCATCTATTTTACTAGTTCTTATATCCTCCCTCTCCCTTCATGTATTCTGAGTTCTTTCATTCTTGTGTAATATTTGGTGTCACTCTTTCTACAGATATTTTACTTTTCCTTTCTATAAATTCCAATGCCTTTTTATTTGCTTCAGTTACTATGCATATGAAGCTTTCTTGGATTTTGGATATATGGAGATATTTATATCACGTGAGGTACATGAATAACCATTGTCTTCCTCCTTCTCCCTCTCTCTTTATACATTCATCACACAAATACATCCTGAGATTTTATGTATGAATTGGGGCCAAAATACATTAACTGACATGTTCTTGTATGTAGTCCTCTTTTGAATTAAGCATGGAATAGGAAATGCAGGATTAGTCTACAGCTATTTTGTTTAGAATGTCTGCCTTCCTTTATATGGAAAAAGTAAATGTGATTAGTAATAGTTCAATACATTTTACCTTTAGAGGCTAGTCACCTGGGCTAGGAAATTTGAAAGGAAAACACAATCTGTTAACATAATTATAAGCCAGTGTCCACACAGCATTTGAAAGGGTTTACTAATGTTTTACGAGGTTTTTGACCGAGTTAAGCAGCTTGGCATTTATAAAATCTGGTAATGGCCCCATTTTATACCATGGAGTTCTTTTGTGGTTTGGGCATGTGTGATGAAGAACTACTGAAGCCCTAGTACGGAGAGTAGATCTATTGGTAGTGGTAGAGGGCGACTGAGAAACTACTGGATAAACTGTTTAATAAGATTTAGGGGTCAACGGTTTGTCTATAGACTCAATTCACAATAGAACATTATGGTGTTGATTGATCCATGTAGCCAACCCACCTAGGGCGGAAGACTTGCTAATGCTTGCTGTTGTAACTTATTCTAGTGCTTGCCCCGTGGAATTTGGTTATGATGTCAAGATGTTTTCGAGATATGTTGTCCTTACACTTTCTTGTATGCATCTAGACAACATGGATAAGTGTCTAAGACCTTTTTCGTTTGTTATTTTGCTTAGTTTATGTTATTCATTCAACATCTTTTGGCTGGCAGACCTTTGGATGGACTCCACAAGAAGCTATAATGCACATGGTCACTGACTATTTTAGTCATTCAGAAGTATGTATATTTTGTTATCTTCAAATACTTTCTTTTTTACATTCATATTTTACTTCCTGGAAATCTTTGCAATTTTTAACTAGTAGTTGTTTAATTGCAGTGGAAAGTGATTGCTGAGGTATTTGGGCCAAACCCTCGACATCTATTTGAACTTTATGCACTAAAACAAAGCAGTTATTACCAGAAGTAAGAATTTTTTTGAATTATTTTATCATACTCTCATCTAAAATGTAGCCTTAGCAATAATTCACTTTTAAGCATTGTGTACAGTTTTAAAGTATCAATGGCCGTAATTATTACACATAACTGGACATACATGTCTTATTACTCTTGCTTTTATTTAACTGTAGAACAACAGAAGACCAGTCTTGTACCTTTGGGGATGTTGTAGATGCATATTTAGCATATTTGCAAGTAAGTTCCAAATTGAGGATGAGATCACATCTCTTATTCTAGACATTGTTATTGTCTTTTACAATCAAAAGCATCAATTGATTTGTTGATAATTTGTTAGGGGGTATATACTGTTTGCTTGAATTTATTGTATCTATTTGCAGAAGAATAAAACGCACTTTTGCAACTGCTAAAAAATTATCTAAGAAAAAAGTATCAAAACCTGCTTTTACTTTTCAACCTGCCAAAAATATTTCCTTATATCTCAAGTAATTTTGGAATTATTTAGAAAAGCATTATCCTAATGCATTATATATTTTGTAAGTTGCATTATTTTATCCATAGTAGTCAATCAAGGATGGCGGCATGAAGCGGCCAACCTCAAAAACGCTATAGCGGGGATAGCGGTAGTGGTATGATCGCTATTCTGAAGTTTTAATACAAACATACATGCTGAAAAATATAAAATTAATATACAAATTTGGAACAAAACAAAAAAGGAAAACTCAAATTAGAGAAGGAAATAAATAACAAACAGCAAAGGGTGCATGAGCAGCCATTGCTTCTACTTGAAGCTTTGAAATTTGAAACAAAACAAAGTAGGGGAATCAAAACAGAGAAGGAAATAAAAAAATAGAGAAGAAAAATAGGAAAAAAAATGTTGAATCATCGGAAAATGTGCAGTTCGCCAGAGATTGAGATGACCGAAAAGTGTTTGGGTGATGTTAGAAGCTTCGCTGACCTTGAAGAAGACGACAAGAGAGGAAGAAAATGACTCAAAATAATCTGGGTCACATTAGAGGGAGATGAAGAAGATGATTGAAAATTGTTCCTTTCTTGTTAGAAGCCTTGTGGGAGATGAAGGCCACACTCCAGCGGTGAAAACAAAGAGAACAGACATGAAATGTAAGGAGAAATGAGAGAACCGAGAGGAGAGCTGAGGAGAGAGTTGAGAGGTGAGTTGAGGGGCTAGGGTTTGTGAGAGGGAGTGAGAAGATTCAGAAAATAAAAGGGAGGGGGCGAAATCCCAAGATTGTCCCCCCTTAAAAGCCCCCAACATTAAAAAATAGAGGGCAAATTTAGAATTTTTAGGGAGGACCGCATACTGACCGCTACAGCCGCGATTTTCGGCTGCTATTTACGGCGTGACAGCCACGACATTGAACCCCAACGCTACAGGGTTGCCATAGCGGGACTGCACTGCTTTGCCGCAATAGTGGCCACTATTGATAACTATGATTTTATCCACCATTATAGTGAAGCAACTTGTGTTAAGATACACAATGTAATAGGCTGTTTGGGAAATTAGTTTTCTTTGTTTCCTGGAATATCCATTGTTGTACTTTTAACATTAGATTTTGATTAGCTAATATCTTTACATGCTTTGACCAAGCCCAATAGCTTTGTGTGATCTATGTAGCTAATCTCACCTGCTGGGATAATGCTTTTGTTGCATGTTAGGTTGGCGTGGTTTCCCTAATAGAGCAGACTGGAGTGTTGTGTCCAAAAGGCGAATCGCTGGAGCAATGTGCTCCAAACGCATCAAAATCTTTTGAAGTATTGAAGTTTATCAAAATCTTTTTTCGAAAAATGGTGAAATATTGAGAAGACTCCCCCTAAACAACAAATCCAGGAGGTTGTTCTATATATACTTATTATATTACCATGGATAAAGACATTATTGTTATTGTTAAGAAACTTGGGCCTAACACTTCTAAAAGTTAGCTCACTCTGATACCATATTAAGAAACTTGGGCCTGACTTACTCCTAAAAACTAGCTCATAGGAGGAAGACTACCCTAGCGAAGGCAGTCGCTCCAGCAGCTTTAGTACTTAGTTAAGGCCCCAGCCCTTAGCCCGGTTCTTATATAAGGAGTATTCTGGCTCTATTCCTAACCAATGTGGTACATTTTAATACACTACCTTCACACCCAGGACTAAACATCTGGTGTGTGAAATTAGCAGGACTGGACATCTACATGGGTGGACCCAACAGGATTGGACATCTGTGGGCAGCCCAATGTTCAAACTGAATAGGCTCTGATACTATGTTAAGAAAATTGAGCCTAACTCACTCTCAAAAGCTAGCTCATAGGAGGAAGTATTTTGGCTCTATTCTTAACTAATGTGGAACATCTTAACAATTATCAAGCTGATAAAGGGCTAGTGACAGATTGTAGCCATGGACAAGAATAGATGAAAAGAGGTCATTTTAGCCATTAGAGAGAATGTATCTCCATAATCTAAACCAAAGACTTGAGTATAGCATTTGGCCACTAGACGAGCCTTAAGACAATTAATATGACCATCAAAGCCAACCTTGAAGGGTACACATCATGGCCTACCACCAACTAGGATGGGAGACTATAACTTGTATTTTTAAGAATAGAAATAGAAGATGAGAAAAAACAAGTATAATGGGAAGGAGATAAACAATGATATGTTAAAACATCATAATGAGAAGAGGGATTACGAGTGGAGTGTATACATTTTCAAAGAGTGATAGGAAGAATATACTCAAGAGGCAAGGTCGAAGGTAGAGGAGTTGGTGCCGAAGGTAAGCTAGAAGGAGGTTCATCATTGGCCTGTGGTGGCAATGAGAATCTGTGATTTCATCTTTGGTATACTTGCAAAGGACGTTGAAGGGGACTATTTGGACTAGATAATCTCTGTGGTGGTTGAAAAACAAGAAGAATTAGAGGAAGAGACAAGGAAAATGTGACTTATAGATTTAGAAGTTGAAGGAGAAGGATAAGACCCAAAAAATAGACTCGACCCAAAGAAGGTAACATCAGCAAGGATGAGATAATGCTTAAGAGTCAAGGAATTTACAATCTTTCTAAGATTAAGTGTAACCAAGAAAGATGCATTTGTGAGCATAAGCAGCGAGGTTGTCAATCCCTGAACTAAGATTATGAACAAAACAAGTGAATCTAAAGACAGGAGGAGGGAGAGGATGTAAAGATTGATGAGGAAACAGGACAGTGTGGTACTTGGTTGTTTAAGGATGGAAGAAGGCATTGGATTAATAAGGTTGTAGGTATAAGGATGACATCTCCCTCAAAACAATAAAGAATATTACCATAAACAAGAAGAGTGCGAGCAAGTATAATAAGGTGTTTCCTTTTTCTTTTAGCAATTCCATTTTGTCCAAGGGTATGAGCACAAGAAGTTTGATGGAAAATACCCTTAGAAGCTATAAATTTTGAAAAGTGTGACACAAATATTCACAAGCATTAACGCTATGCAAGGTGTGAATAGGAACACCAAATTGAATTTTGATATCATGGTAAAAAATTGAAATATAGAAAATAACTTTAATCAATTTTTCATTAAATATAATAGTGTAATGAGAATAATCATCAATAAGGTTACAACAAAGTACCTAAATCAAAATATATGACTAGGACCCCAAACATCAGAATAAATCAAACTAAAAGGAGATGAAGCTCAATGGTTAATACATCACACGAGCATGTTACATGATTTTGATTTTTGAGTGGATTATATATATTACTCAAAATGCCCATTAAATTGTGATAAATTACAAAGAACACCCTTCAGGAGCAAACCAGGGTGGGGACTTTCTATTATTAAAAATTTAAATTAGGAGAAAATTGGTATATTAAAATAAGAAAAAGAAAATTTCTTAAGCTTTTCCCATTATTTTTAGGTGAAGGTGTTTAATTTTCAAAACAACAGGGATGATGTATTTCATTTGTTTTTTTTTGGTTAACTTCAAATTTTTTTTTGTTATAGTATTCTCTCTTTTGCCTGCATGATTAATGATGCATAGTATTATCCAACTTCATTTAGATTACTGTCGTGAATACTGCTTTGGATAGAGCATTGGAGATCTTGCAAAAATTTGCAATTGATGTATACAGTGGAAAGGTTTCAAAAGACAGATTGCGCTTTGGTGCACCTTGGAGGCATCCACCACAAATTGACGATCCTAAGTTGCGTACAGAATGGGCAAAGCTTCAGTTAATGGATTTTGTTCAGTCTCTAGCCAACACAGAATTTGGGGTAAATTTGCTTATCCTTTTTAAGTTTATATTTTGTTCTCATTAGACAACAGTTCTATTGAAAAGTGAAAGATCTAGAGCAAGATTATATAAATACAAGCAAATGCACACATATATGCATGTATATGAAAATACAAACTTGTAGGATAGTGCCCCTACTTTTCTTAGTCTTTGTTAAAAAGGGTTTTTAAGCTTTATTATCCTTCTTTCTGTGTAATACTAATAAATATGTAAAGCGTGTTATTCTCGTTGGTAATGACATTCAAGTTAATTATAGTACCAATAAAAAATTTACTTTTTCTTAATTCTTTCCTTTTAGTACATGCTATTCATGTGGAGCTTTTGTCACATTTTTATCATGTGGAAACACATAATGAGAAATAATCAACCCATTGATATTGTATTAATGTTAATTGATTATCAATGATCAAATTTTGATACTCCTGCAACTATATAAAGGGGCATGCACCCTCCCTCTAACACAGAGCAACCAAGCTCATCTCTTCTTTTCTTATCATCGTTTCTTTCTCTATATTATTCTGTGCATTGTTTGTGAGGCTCCAACACTCTTGGGATCAAGTGCACAGGTTCAGTTGTGAAGTAAACCTTGGGAAGTAAAACTAGGTATTCGGTTACACCAAAGGTTTGTTGGAAATTTGCTTTCAGGGCAGTGGCAATTACCATGGCACAACACTCACTTCTTCCCATTTTCCAAAACTTGTATGCCTAAAATAGCCTGAACCGAAAGAAATCTCTTATGTAAAAGGGGCCAAGAGACAATTATTATAACTATTGGCTTGTTTAGGCAAGGAAGTGATGAGAGTACAAATAGTTATTCTTAGAATCTCCTTTTGTCACATTGATCTTTGTTCCAGTGTTATTGATTAGCTTATGTTTTGTTCCATATTGAATGTTTTTGAAGTAGAACAAATAATTGCTGTTGACATGGGAAATTATTAGTATATTCATTGACATTTAAGTTTGAATGCAATAACATTGTTAACCTGCCTAAATTATTTGGGTAAAAAGTAAAATAAAATAATTAACAAAGAAAAGGATAGATTTGGTTGCACTTTTTAAGATTTTATGCATATATCGGACATATTTGCAAGATCTTTTGCCTTTTCTAGGTGAAGGGGGGGATGACCTTTGGAGAATTAAAAGCTGTACACCACACACATGTATAAGCACTTTTTAATAAACAAAAATACATTATTTTGTTTTGAAATTTTTTTATTTATTAGCATTGAGAGATGATCCATGAATTAGATATAAATGATCATATGTTATAGCAACATAATGAGAGAGAATACGAGTGAAATGTATAGCTTTTTGAAGTGCAATAGGAAGATTAGATTCAAGAGGCAAGGTTAGAGGAGGTGAATGAGTTGATGTCGAAGGTAAGTTAGAAAGAGGCTCATCACTGATTGATAGTGGCAAAGAGGACGTATGCTTCTGCTTGTGGATACTATAAAGGACGTTGAAGAGGACTATCTGGAAGAGATGAGGACTATTTGGAAGAGATGGTCTCCCTGGTTGTTGAAAAATAATAGGAATAGGAGGAAGAGATGAGGGAACTGTGACAGATTCAGACAAGGGGTCTAATGACTTACCAGTTACCTTGAGTGAGTTGGCCCCTTTGTAGGCAGCATTTGACAATGGAGTGGGTAGGAGATCCATCTCACTGCCATCATGGAATCAGCTATCCCTTGTAATCAGTAATCACTATGTTGCTCTTGTAAAGCCGTAAATACTCTAATTAGGGTATGGGGTTTAAAGAGTGATTCCAGATATCTCACTGGTGATTTTGTCAGTGGATGTCTGCTTCATATCAGCCTTCGAACTGCTTTGGCCCATTTGCAGTTTGTGTCGTGGCCTGATGGTTCAGTTTCAGGTGCTTAGTTGACCTTGGTCAAGCCAGGGTTTCATCTAGGGTGGGATCACATAGGTTTCAGTTAGGATCGGGTTTGGGTTAGTTTGTGATTGGTCCAAATCAGAATCAAGAGTGAATATTATTGCAATAAGTCCCAATTTCAGCTCTGCCCCAATGTAATCACAGAACCTAGCTGGGAGATACTGCATACAAGAACACAGACTTTTGAGAACCTCTTTTCTCTCCTCTAGGTTCCCAATCAACAAAACTGGACTCCCTCCAATGAGTGGCCCCATCTCTACTTGTTTCTGCTAACTAACTCTCTAACCCACATATTATTTCAGTTATTTTTATAGCAACACTCTTAACAGTCACTGACAAGGGTTGTGATCCCCTACAACAGTCTCTCCTCTCAGACCGTACTAATAGGAGGCATATTCCTGTTCATATCCCCTACAGCAACTGAGGTTCCATTTGTTGGGCTCATTTGCCTCATGACAGCACTTGGGAAGAGTTTACTCTCGTCCAAGCAGCATTGCCAAAATTTCACCTTGAGGACAAGGTGAAACTCATTTAGGTTTAATAATGGGCACCTCATTGCTGTGACTGGTGGGCCTGCAATAATAGTGTGTGGAAAATAGTGCGTTGCTAGCATCTCTCTTTGTGAATGTAGTATCCTGTATTAAGAAAATTGTAGTACTAAAAGGCATTGAAATTTGTTTATTTACCTACTATGTAAAGATGTGCTTGGAATCTATTTACTAATGCCAAGGGTTGTCTTCAAGCAGGTCAATTATCGAACTGATTATAGTGAAGAAATTTTTGATGATCCATCAACTGTTGCATTATTACAGGTTTGTTATCTTTGTTTTTCAGAAAATTTGTTCGCTTTTAGGATCTTCCTTGCTGCTTTTTATATTACTAGGTCATTCAGTCTGAACTTTTACGCATTCCAGATGATCAGTATCAGTTATTTTTGAAATTACTTGTTTCAATATGATCAGCTAAATGAGTCATGTGCACTTAACTTCAGAAAATTAGATTACCAAGACTTGTGTTGTAATTTTATTACAGTATTATACAACCACAGCAGCAACAACAAAAGCTTGGGTTGGCTATTACTATTCAATAGTGTGATGGCCTTAAATTCCTTAAAATATACTTGTGAAATTTATTAATACTAATGTTCATATTTCCATCATATAAGAAAAATCTGTCTTCTTTTCCCCTCTGTGGTCTTTTGAAGGTGGGGTTGCTTTATGCTCAACGGGATCCACCATTCCTTCGTCCCATATCCAGAGGGATTCAGCGGTGTCTTGTGAGATGGTAAGTTATTTTCTTTCACTGTTCTGATGATAATTGGAGAGGATTAAGATACTTATTTAAACTGAGATTTGGTTTCAGGCTTGTACAGCAGCAGATGCAGCTGAGATTCCACAACTTGATTCATTTTCTTTGGCATAGAATAATACGAGGACGTTATTATCGCCATTTGATGGTCCAAATAGGCTATAAGTAGAGAACGAAAGTAGGTATAATATTTAATCAATCCCCTTTTTTTATACTAATGTGCCATCATTAATTATTTGTCACTATGTTGATCCTTGATGAATGTTGGGATATTATTTATTTGGCGATGGGTAGAATGGGTTTAGTTCATAATCTTGATTATGGTGCCATGGCATTTGTAAAGCTTAGGTGAGGTTTCAGAAGCAGACATATCCAGAGATCAGAGAGGGGTAGAAACTTGGGAATATATACGAAGTACGCTTAGTGGATTATGGAAAGAGTACTTGGATATATTCGACAGTCTGTTTTCAATGAATATATTTTCCCTTTTCTCTGCATTTGTTTTATTATTTATTTTTCCCTGTTTCTTTTTTGGGTGGAGAATGATTTGAGTGAAAATATTCAAATTTCTTAGCTATGGTTACATATTCAGGTTTACCTTGGAAAAAGGACAAAGTGAGGCAAGTCTTCTATCAAATTCATGGAGAGACATGTAAGAATGTTAATTATGGTTATTTACTGTATAAAGATTGAAGAGTGTGATTACCACATGCTATTTGTTTTCTGTATACTAATTTTTATTCAATTGTATTGATTTTTTTGTGGGGTAGACTTTCTATTCGTTATATCCAAAATGAAATGCATTAAAAATGTTCAGAGAGAAACGAGAAAATATAGGATGAATCTGTGTATTTGATTTGAATACATAGTGGAGCTATCTATTTAAAATAATGTGTATAATTACATGACATTATGTTTTCTAAAATTACACTAATCACATATATATCTTATTTACATACATTAATCTCAACACTCTCCCTTGTTGAGAAAGAGAGAAATGCACACCGGAGCTTTCTATTTATAATAATGCATAGTAATTATAGATAATATTAGATAATATCTACATGATATTCTATTATCTAAAATTGATATACGATCACACTATCTACGTAGTTCCTTATTTACATACATTAATCTCAACACTTTCTCTCAAGCTGAAGCATGTAAATCATATGTACTAAACTTGTTACAGATATAACTAATACGAGGTACCCTTAAAGGTTTTAGTGGAAATTTCTGCCAATTAATCATTAGAATTGACAAATTGAGTAACAATATCTCCAGATAAGATTTGAAGTGGCAATCTATCTAAATATGTTTGGTCCTTTCAATAAAAACTGGGTTTGAGACAATATGAAGAGTAGCCTAATTATTATAGATTAGGGTCATCTGTGTGTTCTCTCAAAACTTCAATTCCTTAAGTAGCTGTTTGAGTCATATGAGAACACAAGTGGATGAAGTCATGGCTCAATATTCTGTCTTTGCACTTGATTGTGCAACGACACTTTGTTTCTTGCTTTTTAAAGAGATCAAGTTATCACTAATGAAAACACAGTACCTAGAAGTTGATCTCCTAATTATAGAAAAGCCTGCCCAATTTGCATCTGAATATCCCACAATTTATGTGTCCTTTATCTTCATACAAAGGTCTTTCTCTGGAGCTTGCTTGATATATTTTATGATATGAATAGCTGTCTCTCTCTCAATATTCTTTATAAGGAGAGTTAAGAAATTGACTTATCACACTCATAGTAAAAGAGAAATAGGGACAAGTGACAATGAAATGGGAAGAAAATAAATGATAACTGATATTAACATAATGACAAGAAGGATTACAAGTAGAATATATACCTTTACGGATTGCAATGGGAAAGTCTGACACTAGAAGCGAGGTAACAAACTGTTAGGATGATGTTGGGTCCAGACCAATTGGGCCTCTTCTCAAAACATATCAGAGAAGGAGGGGTAAAAAAGGGATTATGAGCAAGGAGGCTGTCAGGAAGATTCTAACGGAATAACAAATTGAATGACGTGGAGGAGGGAGAGAGCGGCTGAGGGAGGGGATATAAGGTAGATTGATCAGAGGAGAGAGGGGGGAATTATGTAGGAAGTGATTGGGAGGTGGCTGCTGCCTAGGGGAAGTTTCCATCTTTAATCTTCATTGCTTTTCTGCTATTCTTATTTTTCTGCTGTACTATCAGGGGGTTTCCCTGAGGTTTTGGTGTAAATTCCACAAACATACTTAGTTCCTATCAAGTTGGTATCAGAGCTCCCGATCTTGGGAGCGCCTGATGGTGTTGACGAGAATGGAGAACTGGCTGGAAAACGTCGAACGAAGATTGGAGGGCATGCAGGTTGCTATGCAAGAGGAGTTCAGGAGACAGATGGAGGAGATGATGACAGCAATGACAACCAGGCTGGAATCGGCTCTACAGGTGATGAGGGCAGAAAGGGAAGGAACCCATGATAACACCGAAGGGGGCAATGGAGAGGGCGATACTTGGAGGAGGGAGGAAAGGGTGAAACAGGTGGAAGTGCCCTACTTCGCGGGGGATGATCCGTATGGATGGGTGTACAGGGCAGAGCGATACTTCGAAATTAATGGCATCTCAGAAGCAGAGAAGGTGGATACGGCTGTAGTATGTTTGGAAGGGAAGACGCTCAACTGGTATCAATGGTGGGAGCCGCGAGTACCGACCACTGCCTGGCCGGCGTTCCGACAAGCTCTGCTGAGGCGTTTCTGGTCGTCTTCCTCGGAAAATCCCTACGAGGTGCTAATGGGACTGAAACAAAGGGGAACGATTATAGAGTATAGGGAACAATTCGAGCTGTTCTCTGCTCCGCTATGATTCTCTGACGAGGAATTCATGATTGGGGCCTTCCTTAACGGCCTAAAAGAAGAAATCAAAGTAGAGGTCAGGTTGAGAGATTCAGGGGACTTGAGCACGATGATGGAGATGGCCCAAAAAGTCGAAGAAAAAAATAGGGTGTTGGGCCTCTCATTTGGGCCTCCTCCTAAAGGGAGTGGGTCAACGTTTAATAAGTCAAGTTAGGCCGAAACCAGCGGAGCCCAATACGCGCCTAGGCAGAGCTGGACCAGAAGAAGCGAACCCACTTATTCTCTTGGGCTTAGGGCTTCTAACCGCCCCAATGGCAATCGGGTTGAGAAGCAAGGGAGTCCAAATCACTCTCGCGACCTAATCTCCTCTTCCTCACATCGTAGAGGCTTGGGGTTCAAACGATTACAGGGGAGTTAGTTGGCTGTAGTTGAGACACGTTTTTCGGGTGGACAATATGGATTTTTTCGATTCGAGATGGTTAACCACTTTTTTAACCATGAGAGGGAGGTCAGGGAGAGGATTGCTAGGCAGCCTCCTCAGCCCATAAGAGATGATCTTATGTAGTAGCTCAATAGGACCCCAGCTTCCATTTCCATCTTAGAATTGCTGCTTCCCCATCCTCCTCCCTGCCCTTACTAGTAAAGGCTCCCAAGAAGTAGAAATGGATGAGTCCATGATGGATTTGTCTGAAAACCCGGGTTGAAAAGCGCCCGGCGGTGCGAGGTTGATGAGCAGGGATGAAAGAAAGGGGCGGGCGGAATGGATGAGCGAAAGGTGCCATGCCATGGAGTGAGGAATATCCTAAGTCTCATGTAAGACAACTAAATGCACCTCGAGGCCGAGGAACTGGGAGACCTTGTCGAGCACAGGATAGGCAATTGAGAGATAAAGCTAGCCTATTCGTTATGGGGAATCAATGCTCCGGGCCGAATAGAATAGAGCTTGCTTACCTCTGGCACCTGGCTTTATCCGGGCTGGTTTGGGATACGAGCTTATCAAATTCCTTAACAAAAAAGGGGTTGCCCCTACTGACGAAGAGACGAAAGGGGGGTCATTGAATGACTCTGAGAAGCGACGAAGGGGGCTCTGTTTCCACTGCGATGAGAGGTTTTCGCCGGGCCATGTTTGTCGCAATAAGCAGCTCCACGTCATTCTGTTAGGTGAAGAAGACGCAACCCAAGTCGACGTTCTTGAGGAGGATGAAGTTGAAGGGGTAAATCTTCAACTAAATGCCAGTAGTATCACCGGTATGACTTCGAAGAAATCATTGAAGTTATGGGGACTGATCTCAGGTAAGAGGGTAATTGTAATGGTGGACTCCAGGGCATCGCACAACTTCTTGTCTCCAGGTTTGGTGGAAGAGCTAAATATCCCCACAGAGGCCACAAAGGGGTATTTCGTTGAAGTGGGGGATGGGCAAAGGTTGGGAAGCCATGGGGTTTGTAGGGGGGTGGTGTTGGAGTTACCTAATTTACAAGTCATTCAAGACTTTTTCTTGTTTGACTTAGTGGGGGTGGATGTGGTGTTGGGGTATGAATGGCTCAAGAGCTTAGGGAAATTCAGTGCTGACCTGCGACAGCACTTGATTGAGGTCCACAAGGATGGAAAAACGATTGAGGTGAAAGGGGACGTGGGACTAGCGCGGACAGTGGCCTTATTAAAGGCTATTAGAAAGGAGTTAAAAGGGGAGGCTGAGGCTTATTATGTGGAATTGGGCATGATCACACTAGGATATACAGAGTTACCCACTCAGGTAGCAACGTCAGCTCCAGAGGCGATAAGGGAGTTATTGAGGGAGTTTGGGGAGCTGTTTAAAGAGGGAACAAATCTTCCCCCTCCAAGAAAATGTGACCACGCCATAGTTTTGAAAAAAGGAGCAACCATCCCTAACATCCGTCCTTATCGGCATCCTCATCGCCACAAAGAGGAGATTGAGAAATTCGTCAAGGATATGCTAGCAGCGGGCTTGATCAGACCCAGTACCATCCTCTATTCTAGCCCACTGATTCTTGTCAAGAAAAAAGATGGTAGCTGGCGCTTCTGTATGGATTACTGCGCCCTTAACGGTCTCACAGTCCCAAACAAGTTCCGTATCCCAAACAAGTTCCGTATCCTCAACGTTTCAATCATTAATGAATCAGATTTTTAAACCTTATTTATGAAAATTTGTACTAATCTTTTTTAATGATATTTTAGTGTATAGCCCAGATTACTCTTCCCATATTGATCACTTGAGTGTAGTTCTTCATGTGCTAAGAAACTAGGAGCTATGGATCAATGGTAAGAAGTGCAGTTTTGGAGAATCACAGCTGGAGTATTTTGGGCACATTATATCCTTGACTGACCCTGAAAAAATTTCTGCTATGACCCGTTGGCCAGCACCCAAGGACATCCGCAGTCTGAGGGGATTCTTGGAGTTAACTGGGTACTACCACTGCTTTGTTCGGAATTATGGGGTTATTGCTAAACCCCTCACTCAGTTACTGAAGAAGAATAATTTTAAATGGACAGGAGAAGCACAAACAGCGTTTGTCCAGCTTAAGAGGGAGATGGAGGTTCTGCCCACCTTAGCCATGCCAAACTTTGACCTACCATTTGTAATTGAGACTAATGCCTCAGGTTATGGAGTTGGGGCAGTTTTAATGCAACAAGGACGACCCCCAACATTTATTAGTCAAGCTTTATCAGACCGAAATAAGGTGAAATCTGAATGTGAGCTAATGGCCATTGTATTTGCTGTTCAGAAATGGCGTCAATACCTGTTAGGCATTCACTTTATTATCCGAACTGATCAAAAGAGTTTGAAATTCCT